AGTTGGCAGCGGTGAGCCAGCCTTTTGGCTACTCTACCTCTTGAGGTAGAGGCTATTGTTAAGTGTTGGGTGACCATATTGTAAATTAATATTAAAAACTAAAAGCTGCAAAAATATATATTTTCAAACTATTTATTGTCAAATTTAGTCTGATAATTGAAAACATGGATGAAATAAGACATATGAAACAAATAAAAATAAAATGCTTACAAAGCAGAACACAGCTAAATGTATCAAAAGCATGTCTGTGTAATATTAGAATTTTCTGAGACAATGAATTTTGGTCTGTCTTCTTTTTTTTTTCCATGTTAGAGGTTTGCATTTAATAGAATTTTTGGACAAAAAAATCGCAATATATCGTATCGTGACCCCTCTGTCGTGATATGTATCGTATCGCCAAATTCTTGCCAATACACAGCCCTATAATCCACCAGATAATTCAGAGGCGATCTGTTGGGCGAGTTTTACTCCAGGAGCTGCGAGGCTTTCAAGCTAAGTTCAGACCGAGCTCTGCCTCTGTTTACTAGCGGCTGCTGCTAACGTCATTACGCTTTTGCGTGATGCTGCGTTCAGGACAAGCATGGAAAACTCACCACTCTTACMCCAATACGGTCYCAATGCTGCYTTCAGGACAAGCATGGAAAACTCACCACTCTTACGCTAAACCGGTCGCAATGATGCATTTAGGTTCCGATACATGGTACCGTTTGATGCTACGTGAATAGATACTCTGTAGTACCGACAGAATTCGGTCTTTACATCACAAAGTATCGAATTCGGTACCCATCCCTACTGTACGGCCATAGTCCACCCCATGCTATGCTGTGCTGCTTTAGTGTGATGGGTTCGAGTTCAAGTTTTGGTGGCAAGAGTGATGCTCACCCATGTGCAACATATGGCCTGCCTGAGCATCACGGGTTCCATTAGAACAACACTCACGGCAGCCCTTGAAGTCATACTGGACCTGACTTCACTGGATTTACACATCTTAGAGGAGGCTGCATTCAGTGCGGTGAGGTTACACCAGTCTGGTAGGTGGAAAAGCCTATCTGACTCACAGCACACTAGAATCTGGGACTGGGCAGTTGCTGCTGTTCTAGTAACTGCAGGCCCTGGAGACAAAATGGTCAAAAAATACAATTTTCAACCAAGTTTTAAGACAGAGATTGAAAAAAGGTCAGCCTGGAGTCATTTCTCTATGGTGGACCTGTCTCCTGATAATTTCTACTGTTTGACAGATAAATCCCTTTTATAAAGGGGTCAGTAGGTGCAGGGGTGCTGATTCTGCACAACCACAGTGAGAGAGAGAGTACAGTTACCCACTAGGTGGTTTTGTAAAGGTATCTCAAGCTGAGATATATGCAATCCACCAATGTGCGGCATCTCTCAAAGACCTTCAGTGTAGG